GCCCGTGGAGTAAAGGATTCTTGTTTTGCTAAGTATGAAAACATCATATTTTTGAAAGGCTCTGTAAGAACGCCTCAAATGTAAAATGGGGACACCACGTTTATCAAGAGAACCAATAGGCAGCGGGAGCTCAGGAGAGGAAACCGTTGTTTCCACTCGGATTCTATTTTACGGGCGCCTCGCAGGCGTCCGGAGCCAGCCTTCTGCATATCGGGCACCTCACTTCTCTACATCTGCTTCCCTGTCCCTCAAAAAACTCCGAAGCGCACAGCTTGAGCGACATCCCTCAGCAGTGCAGCGCAGCGCACAGCGGTCAGCTGCGCCCAGGAGTGCAACGCCTACCACACGGCCGTCCGTGCCGCTGAGGCTTCTGGGAGTTGTAGTTCTGGCTCCACCAGACCAACGCACTTCCGGGTTCGTCCAGAAGCGGAGCCATTGTCCCGCGCGCGGACGTTGGCAGTCGTTCCGCAACCTTTCGAAGTTAACGATCTTGCGGATGCTTACTAGGGGCGAGGACCAGTCTAGTTTAACCCCAGGCTGAAGTGCTGCAGGGGCTGCTTACCCTGACTACGTTCTTCCCCAGAGGCGTGCCGTGATCCCAAGCAGGCACAGCACAGGCCTGCGCTGCCGGCGCTTGGACGCCCAGGTTGGTGCGGGTCGGCGCAGCACTGGGTGTGCCGTGTGCGCATGCGCAGGATGTAAGCCCGCACCTGGAAGCTGGGGTGTACGGGTGGGAGTTCTGGCGCCTTATCGCTAGATGCGTTCAGCCTTGCGTCTGGCGGCTGATGGAGATACTGAGGCAACTGCTGCAGTGCTTAGCACGCGTGCGCGGATGCTTGGGCAAGTGGTTCACTGGTCTGGCGTCTGAGGATGCTCGTGTTGCTGGAAGCTAGAGCAGGTACGCGGATATGGAGAACCTGGGATGCGCCCTTCTCCAATACTTTATCTGTTCAGTGGAGGGCCCGAGGGTGTCCAGGCTTGTGAAGTGCTCAATTGTAGATTTCTGTTTCTGGAAGGAGGGGCTGCGCCTCTCTCACGATACTCTTAAACAGTGATTTGGGTTGGAAATACGGGGTGAGATTCTGAGCATTTGACTTGGGGACTCTGTAGGACACTGCTTTTCTCTCAGGCCTGGGGACGCTCTACTTGTGGAGAGACCAGGTTGGAATAGCATGATCTCACCCCAGGAGAAGCAGTGTTACTCAGGCAAACTCTCCGTGGGATTCTCCCATAGACAGCAAAGTTCCAGGTTCTAGGCAGCGTGTTCCCTGCACATGCTCTGAATAGGACTCAGGAACGCGGACTGAATCCTGGGGTCCATGCAAGAGAGTGCAGAATTCTACACCATTCAGGTTTGGTAGAGAAGCTGGCTTGGAGGTAAGGAATCAGCCCAGGAAGGACTGAGTTTGAGCAGTTGTGTCAGATTGACAGCTCTGTAGAGGAGGAAGCAGGATGCTAATAGCATTATTATGGGTAGGTGTTCTGGGACCTTCTCATAGGCTACTCAGCTTGCAGGCATGAGAATGCCCAGATTGATAAGAGGGACAGAGTCTGGGCTGCAGATTTGGATGTGAAAGAGGCTGACTCTGCAGGACACCCAGGCTGTCATGTTGGGCAGAAGGAGCGGGAAGGGCCTAGTTTTCATGGGTGCAGCACCAGCATGGGTTTGAGAACCCCCACGGTGGCGAGTGCCCAGTCATGGGACAGATTCTGGAGCTCTATGCTCAGGATACTGGTGTTTTGGTGTTCTGGTGTTACTGCAGTGGAGCAGGTAACCCCAGGATCTGCATGGAGGCTTGTGGGTACCTGAAGTATTCCAGTTAGTTTGTGGCACAGGGTAAGTGTGCAGATTCTCATCTCAGGAGTGGGGGCTGCACACAATCCCCTGGTGAAGCATTCAGGCCCTGGATGCAGATTCTGGGTGTGAACCTGCTCTGTGTGTGGGTGGGTGTGCCATGGAAGGAGGGGGCCAGGCACTGTAAAGTGGCTGCTGGAGTGGAGGTGTGGGAGCCCCGGTGTGGATCTGCAGGCTCTGGTCTTGGGATGCATGGGGCCGCTCAGCTGTAGTCTGCACACGTGCTGTGGGACTGTATGGGCAGTCTTGGGCACTGGGGATGCCTGGGTGGGTGGAGGGAGCTGCTGTGGGTTTAGGGCTGCAGAGAGGCATGGCAGTTCCAGGCACCCTCTGTGCACAGTAATAGGTGTTTGGGTGGGAAGCAGGAGGCTGGAGATGGATTTTGAGAGTGTGCTTGCGTCTTTGTGCAGGTATTGCCCTGATCACGGCCTGGCAGTGCCCAGGTTAGTGGAGAGACAGGATCTCTGAACCACAGCTGCCCAGGAAGGCCTTAGGGCAGGAGTCAGGTGCAGCTCAAGTTGAGACCTGAGGAAGCCAGGAGGGAAGGGGCTGGGTGCAGGTGTGAGGCACAGCTGCCTTGGGAACACACACAGTGCACTGCCTGATTGAGGATCTGGAGGGGCAGAATAGTGGGTAAGACGGAGAGATGGTGTGCAGGGAGGGGATGGGGCAGATTTACTCTAGTCTCAGATAAAAAGACATCTAATTAGTACAAAAGCAGCTGAGCTACTGAGGTACACATTCTTTGCAGGGAGGGGCAGCCCTCAGCTGGTGTGCTGGTGTTTGCCACAGTCCCCAGTCCTATGCCGACCCTGCCGCACTCAGGGAGATGGAGGAAACAGGTCAGAGCTACACGTTCAGGGCCCAGGAGGGTGTTGGGATGGGAATCTCAGCCAGTGATTGCTGCGTCTGGCACAACTCTTGAAACTCCAGAGGGAGGACGGTGGGGGATGAAGAAAACAAAAGTCAAGATGTGGAAAGCTGAGGTGAGGTGCATCCCTCCCTCCTGATGGGAGAAGGGAACTTCCTAGCACCTGTAGTGTGTTTATTTATACAATCAGCATCTAATAAGTTCATGGAGAGTTTAAGGGGAGGGTAGAATCTGGGACAGAAAGAAAATCTGATCTATTAGCAGAACAGCCAGTCTTGGTGGCTTCACAGGGACAAGAGAAGACTGTCTATATTATCTCAAGTGAAGGTCAAGTCACTACGTGCATCAGCTCCCTGAGTTGTGCAGACTTCTCACAGCGCCCTGCCAGACTCCTGAGAGGCAGTGGCGTTGCCCTAGATACCGGAGGTACAAACAGCTTCACTCCCAACAAGTGATGTTCTGGTAAGATGGTGGAGGGACCTGGGCCTGGCTGCACCTGAGTTCTGAGAAGGAAATAGAGGCTACCTGCCCTGGGTTGCTGGAGGACAGGCCAGGCTGTTGGAAGGGCAGGATCAGTGCTCATTGCTGAGTCAGTTCCTGGAAGGGGTGGGGCTGGCGAGCTTCACGCAGTTGGTCAAGGGGTATGATTCTGGGCAATCAGTGTCAGAGCTGTGCTGCTGGCCCTGGGAAGATGTGCTGGCTTGGAGTTGCAGGTTACGAATGGGGCAGGAGGGTACATACCACGGGATCCTCCATGTGCTGGGTGTTTGTGTGGGATTCCAGGACCTAGTAGGCCAGGGGAGGAATTAGTGCTGCAGATTTTGGTGGGAGGCAGAAGGCCATGTTTGGGCATGAGGTGGCTTGTGGGTGGATGGTTGTGAAGGAGCAGGATTGGAGCCGCAAGATCTTGGGCTAGGAGAAGAACTGGGGGACTCTTGGTGCATGCGTTACGTCTATTGGCAAGAAACCTCTAGAAGTGCCCTTGCCTTGGGAATGCATCCTGGGATCCGAGGCTGATTCAGAATCAGGTTGGTGCAAGGGTGGGTGCACCTTCAGAGAATGATCCTGTTCTCAGGGTATCTCCTCTCCCTGCAGCTCAGCACCTGCCAAGCCTGGAGGGAAACATGGAGGGACAGGATGAGAAGCCCCTGGGGCCCTTGAAAACCTATGAGCAGGTGAGTGGGGCCTCTCCTCTGAGAGCCCTAGGGCCTTCTCCCACCAGGCCCACAGCTCACCCTCTGAAGTCTCTGCAGCATTTTAGGGTCTTTGGTCTCTCATGGGTGCAGACTTTTAATTATGTCCACATTGCATTTTCTGAGTCTCTCTGCTGCAATTCTTCACCTTTTTAGTAGAGACAATTTTTTCTGGGAGAAACTTGGACTCTTGAGTTAAAAGCTCTTGGAGTACTGATTTGTCTTTGCCAGGAATTTACAGCTTTATTGGAGAATGTACAGTTGGACATATCCTAAATGTGTAATGAATTGTGGATAGTTCAGTGAATTATGAGGTGGTACACGCTGTGGCTTCTGCATCAAAACTGATACAGTATGCTAGTGTGTGCTTACTGGCCGAAAAAGATAATGATTTATATTAAGTAGATAGCATTTAGAAATCATTGCCTTTTGAAAAAGAAATGTTATTCATATAGAAAATATATTAGAGACCATAAATATACTAGTTGACGAAGGTTACCTGTCAGTTTTGTTATTAAGGATTTTTTAAATTACTTACCCTTAGTTTTGTACTTTTGTACAGCACATTTTAGGATTTAAAATGAATCATTGACAGCATTTTCTTACAGCACATATTCTTTGAGAACATTTAGTTTCTTGAAAGTAATAAGCTTGAACTCCCCTTCCTGAACAGTCTAGTCTTTTTTTTTTTTTTTTTTTTTTGGTTTTGGTTTTTCTCCGGTACCGGGAACCGAACTCACGACCTTGCGCTTGCCAGGCAGGCGCTTTGCCGCTGAGCTAAATCCCCAGCCCCTGAACAGTCTAGTCTTGACAGCCTTAGATGGGCTGAGCTAAGTAGCCAGCTGCAGTTGTAGAGGATGTCTGTGTGTGGGCTGTCAGTGACCAAGCAGGGTAGGGACAATAGCCACAGTGACATCCTGGTGCAGGATCAGAACCCAAGTGGAGTAAGGGAGTTGTCCATACAGGGGGTGGCCCATAATGGGTGTTAGAGCCCGCTGAGGATAAGAACGGAGTCTGGACAAGGCGGTGGCCAGGTGTGAGGAGACAGAACCCACGAGGGGTGTGGCAGTGTATGCCTGTGAGGAGGGGGATGTGAGGTGGGGTGACCACCATCAGGTGAACGCAGCATCCACAGAGGGGATGTTCCCTAGGGGCAGTGGAGCCCTAATGTGGTGAGCATGTATCCTTGCTGGAGTGGTCCAGTGGGGGTGTCAGAGCCAGAGCCAGGCAAGACATGGAGGGCAGCAATACGGTGGCACAGTCCAAGCTCAGATGGCACAAGGAGTGAGTCCATGAGGGGGGATGCCCTGGCCTGGGGAGCTTGAGCCCAAGCAGGGTGACAAATGTCCCTCAACAGAGAGTGGCCCCCTGTAGGTGGCAGAGCCCACATGGGTAGGAAAGGTCTGTGTGGGAGAGGGTGTGGCGGTGAAGCCGGGGACTGTACAGGGTCCCGAACAAAGCCACTCAGACACGGAGTGGGAGAAAGGATGTCTTTATTGCCGGCATCCCTCAGGTGACTAGTGTCCACCCCAGAGCTCGAATAGGGTCTTGCTTTTACTTTTGTACCATTCTTCTTTTACGGGGCAACCTTGTACTGACAAGCTGTTGTTAAGCGTGGTTACAGACACAGAAGTGAAACAGTGGTTGCAGCAGGGTACAGTGCAAAAGGGAGCACAGAGAGTTCTGGCAGAACTTTTCAAGTTTGTTATGCTCTGCTGACATTATATTATAGCTGTACCTGTACACAGCTGAGCTCATAACCATCAGTTTTTTTTTTTTTTTTTCAGGGAACTTAGCTGTACAGTTAACCCATAGTTGCCCAATTTTACCTCAGGAGGTGGTTTCCTCTCTCAGCAGGCGGAATGGAGATTAAGTACTTACAGCAAGGGCAGCAGGAGTGCTTGTTGGAGCAGGGGAGTACAGATGGACAAAGAGTGCACTAGGATCCACTTGATGGTGACCAGTGTGAACTGAGGGTACTAATGTGGGCTCATGGTTTTCAGGATGCATAGATGTAGAAGTATGGAGAGCAGTGTGCTTGTGTGTGTGCACACATGTATTCCCTGTGTGCCCTCGCTGGGGCTTGAGAGTGGGGACATTCCAATCCCACCAGGTGTACCAGTTGTCCAGATTTTGAGTTTTAAATATACCACAGGTTTTATGGGTTCACTGTTAATGGCTACTTAGTGTTCAGTCTTTTTGCTGTTACAGACAGCACTGTTGCAGATGTTCTGCACATGATTCCTTGAACACATGTGAGATTAATCACAGATATAAATTTGTATTAGTCACTCTTCTGTCACTGGGACAAAATACCCGATGGGTGAAACTATAGAAGTTTATTTTGGGTCACTGTTTCAGTGGGTTCAGTCCATGGCCAGCACGGTCCAAGGGCAGCAGAGAGCTGCTTGCATTATGGCAGCCAGGAGGCAAAGAGAGAGAGGAGGTAGGGACAGAATGCACGCTTTCCGGTTATGATCCACCCTTGTGCCACCTTTTCCTACAAGGGCCCAGCTCTGAAGATTGTGGAGGACAGTTTAGATTTAAACCATAATGTTGTCATCAATACTGTTGGCAAAATGTGATTTGATATGACAGTCGGTACTGTATTTTAAACTAGTGACTTTTGGGTATTTTCTGAGAGTCTGAATGACCTTTTGCTCTTCTCTGTCAGATGTTGAATCAGGAATCTCTTCATTATATTACTTCTCTCAGATTTATTGAGTGAATCCTTATGTAAAGGGCTAGGAGAAAGACAAGGTAGACAGCCTTGTTCACATGTCATTGTTCTTATAGCCAGAGATGTGCTGCTGCTTTTTTCCAAGGCCACACAGGAAAAGCAAAAATCTAGTACTAGTTATCGACTGTTGTATACCCAGAAGGTAACAGCTTAAAACAACCCATGTGTATTTATATTTATGTGTGTGTGTGTGTGTGTGTGTGTGTGTGTGTGTGTGTATTGGGGATTGAACCCAGGTCCTTTGCACTGAGCTATGTCCCCAGCCCTTTTTTACTTTTTTTATTTTGAGACAGGGTCTTGCTAAATTACTAACTTGCATCATGTTGCTTCAGCCTCCTAGAGTGCTGGGATTATAGGCATGAGTCACTATTATAGACAGCTAAATTAGATAGAAATTAATATATACCCAGAGAGGGATTTGGCTCTTAAGAGAGTCAGCACAAAATAAAGACATTAAAATTGTGATTGGAGGGCTGGGGATTTAGCTCAGCGGCACAGCGCCTGCCTAGCAAGTGCAAGGTCATGAGTTCAATTCCTGGTACTGGAAAAAAAAAAAAATTGTGGTTGAAGGCATGTCTGAAGGCCAGACCTAAAAAAAAAAAAAAAGATGCAGTGGCCAGGCCTACATGCTTCCCTAAGGGATAAACAAGAATTTGAGATTATATTATAATCAGAACCACCTGTTCCAATAAGTCCAGATAGGCATCAGTTGCCCAAGTGGGTGACCACAGTACCCAGACCCATCCCTCCTGAGAAAAGGCCCTTCTCTTTGTTCTTTCCAGGTATCTTTGCTATATGAGTCATTTTCATATTGGGTCAATACTATGTTGGTGGTAAATTGACCCTGTTGTACCCACATTGACTTTGCTGTATAAATTAACCCTGGACAAAGAGACTTCATGGCCACCCCATTTGGGATCCCTCCTGGAAATCCAGGAGCTACTCTTTTTTCCTTATTTTCAGTAAAATTCTCCTAATGTTTCCTTTGGTTCACAGCTTCATTCCTCATTGTTGTGGGACCATGAATTCAGAACATCTGACATCTCGCAGGTTGGGAGTTATGCTTCTCCTGTATCAACTGCACCTGGCACCCACATGTATTTTGTCACATAATGTCTGAAGGCCAGAAATCCAGGAGTAGCTTAAAAAAAAAAAAAGAATCATTTTGGAATTTTGTTTTTGCTTAATACCTGCTGAGTTAGAATCATTAAGTCTTTCAATTTTTGACATTTAAAAAACTGATCTTAGCCATTCTAAAAGCAGAAACCAATTATCTAAAAGAGTATGTAATAATTTTGAAATGCAGGCTAGTATTTATACATTTCTCTCTCTAAATAGCTCTGTCTCTTTCTCTCTTTTTGAAGTAGTAGGGATTGAACCCAGGACTTTCTCACTGAGCTGCATCCCAAGCCTTTTAACATTTCTTTTTTTATCCTGAGACAGGATCTTGTTGCTAGGTTGCCCAGGCTGGGGTCAAACTTGCTTCACCCTCCCAGAGTGCTGGGATTACAGGTGTGCCTGGCTCCAGATAAGTTTTTCTTGCTTGAGTAGCTTTTCTTATTTCCCAGGTTGGTTTTTTTTTATTTTGTTTTTTGCTTTTTGTTTGTTTTTGTGGTACTGGGGATTGAACATTGGTGTTCTACCACTGTCTTAGTTACTTTTCTGTCATTGCTGAGATGACACCCAGAATTAAGGAAGGAAAGGTTTATTTAGCTCATGGTTTGTGGAGGTTTCAGTCCATACTCAGCTGGCTCCAAGGCAGAATGGCACATTGCAGAGGGCAACAGTTCATGGCGGTGGAAGATAGCAAAAGCAACAAGAGGTAAAAGGGAGGAGCAGCAGAGGGTGAGCTTCTTTTCCTCCCTTATACTGTATGCAGGCTACCTACCCTAGGGTGGGTGCAGTATTCACACCCATAACCCCAGCATTGGACCATGAATCAATCATAAACTCTACAAGCCTAGACTATATAAAGCTTTGGGGAGACATTAGACACAAACTGTAACAAGCACTGAGTTACAGTCACATCCCAAACCCTTTTTATATATTTATTTTTTTGAGACAAGGTCTCATTAAGTGGCCCAGGCTAATCTCCAACTTTTGATTTTCCTGCCTCAATTGTCTCCTGAGTAGCTGGGATTATAGGCATGCACCACCATAACCAGCTATATTTATTATTTTTATTATTACTGTTATTGCTCTTCTTCTTATTGGATGAGTTCATTTCTAGCCATGAAATTGTTAGAGTTCAACCTTGATCACTTCTGAAGCAAGAAAAAATATATTTGCCATTGTTGCATATTTGGAATGTGATTGTGTTGGGGGCTGTTTCTATGATGAGTTTAGGCTGAGTGCATTAGCAGTTTTAGGGTCAGAGTTTGTGACTCTCTTGAGTCATCTGTAATTTTGTGTTATTTTGACATTGCATTTGCGCTTGTGCTTTAGTGTTTCTTTTGTGATGCCTACATACTAACTTTAACCATTTCAACCCTCTGAGGTTGTGCTTGTTGCAAACACAGACAGCCTAGTGCCTCTCTTATTGGGTTTTCCTAATTCTGCAGCTTCTCCAGCTCTTTGACCACTTGGTTTACTGTAGCCCCATCTAGTGAATATGCAGAAGTGTCTTTAGAGATGGAGAAATCCTTTCCAATCTTTACACAAACCAAAAGTAAATAAGAAACTGAGAATCTGCTTGTATATTTTCTGGTCATTTTATTTATTCTTGGTTGAATTGTTTGCATATTTTCCTTTGTCCATTTTTCTTTTAAGGTTACCATTTTCTTAATGATTTTAAGAAGTCTTACTAGCACATATCTTTATTGAAAGGACTTTTATTGGTGATGCTTTCTGTTAAATATTTTTTTGTTTTGTTTTGTTTTTTTTTTTTGGTTTTTCTCCAGTACTGGGAACCGAACTCACGACCTTGCACTTTCCAGGCAGGTGCTTTGCCACTGAGCTAAATCCCCAGCCCCTCTGTTAAATATTTTTGAAGTTAGTTTCTTGATCTTTCCTTTATGAGTCTGGCTTTTGTTGTGCTATAGTCGTTTTTATTTGCTTCCAATTTTATGATGCAGGAATTTAGGCAGGACCCGGTGGACTGTTCTTTTGCTGCATGTAGTACCTGGAGTCACTTCAGCTGGATTGAGCTGGCAATGGGGCTGGCCTAGAAGATCCAAAAGGACTTCCTGCCCATGTCTGGGGCCTCAGTCTCCCATAAAATGCCCCCTGTCTTTCTCCATATGGTCAACTTGAACATAAGCAATGGCAGGGGCCCCAAAATTGGCAGATAGAATGTGTCAGAACAGCTGGAATGTCAAATTTAGCTGACTCACAGTAGGAGTTTTGAGCTATGATTTATCTGCCTAATTTTTTCCCTTCTTTCGTCTGTTCCACCTTCTCAGGACTCTTTTCTTCCTCAAGAGATTATCATCAAGGTGGAGGGAGAAGATGCTGGGCCACTGGCCACCCCATCCCAGGTGAGTCAAGCAGGGCTTCTTTCTTTACTTTGAAAACTATGCATGATTGGTCAGTGGTAGAAACCAGGAAAGCTTGGAAGTGAGTGGAAAGTAGAAAGTGAAGAAATGGAGATGAGACTGGGCAGATTTCCAAGAGACTTGATTATTGTTTGAAAGATCATTAGAGAAAGAACTTCAAAGATGTTTGAGATTAAAGAGTGGTTTTTATTTTCTTAAAGCATTGAAAAGATTTGACTCTACTTAAGTGATAACAGGAAGGAATTAGTGGAGAAAAAGAAGTTAATTAGTAGAGCAAATAAAGGAAATAAACAATATCAAGTCTTTAGTACCAGAACAAGTTGAGTAAATCTGTGAATAAATTGACTAAATGGGGAAGATTCCTATTGGAAGAATAAAAGTGAGAGAGTTGTGAAGTTGAAGTTGGTTTTAGTCTATGAACGCTCAGATGAGGGTGAGGATGGGAATTGGAGTGGAGATATGTTTGACAAGAGTGGAGAAGGCATAAAATTTGTCCTCATAGGAATAATAAAGTTGCTGGGTGAGCAGGAAGGATCATTAAAAGACTGATACTTAATTTATAGTATTCTGTTTAGCTACACTTGTGGCTTTTTTTCTCAGTGGTATCTATCCACCTTGACCAGAATCTTTTGGATGCTGTCAGTCTCTCAAGGTCATCAGATTTTCCTACTTTCATATGTCAAACATTTTCCTTCTTCATAACCATTAAAACGAAATAATGCCCACCTGAGCATGAATATGTGTTCTGTTTTAGGAAGGAATAAACTTTAAAATTGTGACTGTGGACTTCACTCATGAAGATCAGGGGACTTGGAACCCTGCTCCAAGGACCCCAGACAGAGGTGTGACCCTGGAGAACCACATGGACCTAGTCTCTTGGGGTAAATGTGTCATCCACATAATGAAGTTATATCTATTGAAATGTTTTCAACTCCCCATTAAAAGCTATGGAGTTTGGCAGCTAAATTGATTTTGACCTCACATACTTTATGAAGATTAATTTTGAATTCTTGGGTAGAATAGGTAAAATTTCTTTGTCTTGAGCTTATTGAGTCTTCATGGCTTCTAAAGGCCAAAAGCTAGACCAAATTCTGCAGTAATTTCTTTTATCCCTAGCCCAAACACCCAAAGTGCAGTATCTTTCTTCATCAACTTTTCAAACTAAACTCAGTCTCATAGTTGGAGAAAGGAGGAAGAGTATAAAAAGAACTTCCCAATGTTCATTTCCAGTTGGGAACAAGACACACAGGGGTCATTCTAGGTACAAAAGTTTTGTTTGAATATCCCTGTAGGAGAATGCCACATTTTCCCCACCTCTGTGTCACTTTTCCAGTTGTATACTTCATGGAACTTTCTCATAGCTACTTAGGCTTGTTCTTCTGAGCAAACCTCCATTCACTCTCAGTTGAAATCACAGGAACTCATGAGACCATATTAGCCTATGGGGTATTCAGGGAACTGTGATCATTGTCCCCCTTTTCTTGCTTGGGTTTGTAAATGTAGTTTGTTCACATCTTGCTTATATATACTATTATAGCAAGTTTCATGCCTCTAAATTCTTAGAACTGTAGCCACAGATTTATTTTAGTGAACATGTGTCTAGCACCAATAAGGGTGGAAAGGTCCTTCTCTTTCTTTGTTAAATATTGCAAGATTGTGTTAGGATTCTGTAAATGTTGTATTCATGAATTTATTTCAGAATATGAAGCTACTTGGCATTCAAAATCTTGCTTATTCAAACAAAAATAAGATTAGAAAAATAGTTTTAGTTGAACGCTCTGTTATACTGTTGGTCTGTGGTAATTTTGTACTTACTGCTAATCTCATCCATTTGCTTTCTCAACCCAGGTTGTATAGATCCATAGCTGAAAGCAATTCCACATACTTTGCAATCTTTCTTGTGAAGTTTATTCCAATATTCTAGGTCTTAACGTGTTTTGTACATGATGTCTTATTTTGTTTTTTTTTTTAGATCTGGCAACTGCATTTGGAAGAAGAGAATCAACCTTAAAGCAGAGCAGTTGTGGTGAAGAATTCTCCCATGAAGTGAAAATAGAAAAGTTGACAAGAGATGATCCTTGGCTGTCTTCATGTGAAGAAGTCCATGGCTGTAAAGACCAGTTAGAGAAGCAACAGGGGAAGCAAGAGAGACTTTTGCAGAAAGTGGCATTCACTCAGAGGAAAGCAGTTATTCATGAAAGACTCTGCAAAAGTGATGAACTTGAGAAGAGTGCTGTTAATTCCAGTCTTCTTTCACTTCCCATGATACCCATTAAAAACCGATTCCATAAGCATATGTCACATGTTAAAAAGTGGCATGCTGATTCTGTTATAAACAGTCTTCAGAAGATTAGTGACAATGACAAACTATGTGAAAATAATGAATGTGAAAAACTCCCTCAGAGCATACATCTGTTTCAGGTTACAAGAACTCCAAAAAGAGATAAATCTTATGAATTTAGTGACAATATTAAGCCTTTTAGTGATGCTATACCCATAAATAAAAATGAGAAAATTTGTTCAGGAGGTAAAACCTTTGATTTTAAGGAATGTGGACAAGTTTTGAACCATGGCATATCCCTCAATGAACAACAGAGAATCCCTCTTGAGGAGAGTCAATATAAATGTAGTAAAATATCTCAGAATTCATCCATTGCTCACAACATGAGAAATCAATCTGAGGAGAAACCTTTTGAATGTAATCAGTGTGGGAAATCCTTTAGCTGGAGCTCACATCTTGTTGCACATCAGAGAACACATACAGGGGAAAAACCTTATGAATGTAATGAATGTGGAAAATCTTTCAGTCGGAGCTCACACCTTGTTTCCCATCAGAGAACTCATACGGGAGAGAAACCGTACAGATGTAATCAGTGTGGGAAATCCTTTAGCCAGAGCTATGTCCTTGTTGTGCACCAGAGAACTCACACTGGAGAGAAGCCTTATGAATGCAGCCAATGTGGAAAGTCATTTAGGCAGAGCTACAAGCTTATTGCACATCAAAGAACTCACACTGGAGAGAAGCCCTATGAGTGTAATCAATGTGGGAAATCATTTATTCAGAGTTACAAACTTATTGCACATCAAAGAATTCATACTGGAGAAAAACCTTATGAATGCAATCAGTGTGGGAAATCTTTTAGTCAAAGTTATAAACTTGTTGCTCATCAGAGAACGCACACTGGGGAAAAGCCCTTTGAATGTAATCAATGTGGAAAATCTTTCAGCTGGAGCTCTCAGCTGGTGGCACATCAAAGAACTCACACTGGAGAGAAACCTTATGAGTGTAATGAATGTGGAAAATCTTTCAACCGCAGTTCTCACCTTGTTATGCATCAAAGAACTCATACTGGAGAAAAACCATACGAATGTAATCAGTGTGGGAAATCCTTTAGCCAGAGTTATGTTCTTGTTGTACATCAGAGAACTCATACTGGGGAAAAGCCCTATGAATGCAGTCAATGTGGGAAATCCTTTAGGCAGAGTTCATGCCTTACTCAACACCAGAGAACTCATACTGGAGAGAAACCATATGAATGTAATCAGTGTGGAAAGACATTCAGCTTGAGTGCTCGACTTATAGTACATCAAAGAACTCACACTGGAGAGAAGCCCTTTACATGTAATCAGTGTGGGAAAGCTTTCATTAACAGCTCTAAGCTTCTCAGGCATCAGGCAACTCATAATGAAGAGAAACCATACGAATATAGCTAGTTTATTAATCTTCAACCCAGAATTGATTTCTGTTAATTTTAGTCTTTTTAGAAATTTATTTTAATGGAGTGTGTGTAGTGTCAAGTTTAGATAATATATGTTGACAGACTTTTGGTAACTTGTTAACTATGTATCTAGAAATTTGTAAGAAATGGGGCAAATCTATAAACTGCACATTTTTAATTTAGTTATATGTGCAAAATCTAATTTGGCCTTACAAGCATCCTGAAAAAGTAGTAAATACTTTTGATTTTCCTTGCAGAAAGCACTCAGTCCTGAGTTGGAGAGAAAACCAGTGAGATGTGGACCTCTTCCCCAAAACAGCACACAAAAGGCTAACACTGATGGGCTTGTGGAAAAGATATAAAAATTATTGTAGTGTTGAGAATGTAGGCCAAAAAACAGTGTTACTATGTATCATTCTACTACATGATTTCTTCAGTTACGTAGTTTACAGTTTACTTTTTAAAATAGCACTTTCTGTTATAAAGTGATGACTATGAGAGAAAAAAAGGAAAATGGCTGATACAAAATAAAAAATGCAGGAGAAAATACAGAAATATTTTCTAGAACTACTGTATTTGTGTATGGATCAAATTTGAAAGAGATTATGGATGTATCTGATATTTTGATTTATGTCAAGTGTTTTTGTTTTAGACATTTGTTGTTTTTCTATAATAAATGATATAATGAGTAAAAATTGGTTAAATAAAATAACCCATAATTTTTCTACCTTGTTTAACTAGAGCAACCAGATAGCAAAAGTCACCTAGGGTTCTTTTTTTTTTTTTTTTTTAAGACAGTGTCACACTATGTAGCTCAGGTTGGCCTTGAACTCACTATGTATCCCAGGCTGGCCTTGAATTCAAGTGCTGAGTTTACAGGGATGCACCACGACACCCAGCTTCACCCAGGGATTTCCATTTGGCTTAGCTGATCATGCCTTAGGGCTTAGATTCTTAGGGATATTACCTACAGAAAATAAAATAGTTCCTTGGAAATGGATAACTAAAATTTAGACTAGAAAGGGTTCTAATGAGTGAATGAGAATGCATGGATAGTATAGATGATATAAGAGCTTACTTTAATATATTTAAAGTACAAAGAAGCACTATTTTCAAGAAAGTTTTTCTCCCCTCATGTGCCATTGTTATTCTGAGATATGTTCTCTACTATGAGTCCTTGGTGAGGGTGTGCTGCTCTGGCTAAGTATTCTTCACCTCAAGCTTGCAAGAATGTGTTGAGTGTGGTAAGCTTTTTAGCTGCCAATTGATTTTTAAGATTTGATTCACATGTCTTGTGTTTTTTTGCTCAGTCCTGAATTCTCACCTTGTGAATTATGCTAGAAAGGTAATAAAAAAATGTCAAGAGCTGAACTGAGAGAACAGAGAATAGAGGTATATCTCCTGAAGAAAAGAAGGAAAACCCAAAATAACTTCCGATAGATTTTTGGTAAAATTCCATTCCCTCAAGATTACTTAGAAAAGCTCTCTCTTTGAGAATTAAACCCCATACTTTAGCACAGTTGGCAGTGACAGGTCTGGAAGAACAGTTGTTGATGCCTGGAAAACTGTCTCCCATCCCAGCATCATCTCCCCCCGGCCCATCAGTGCATAAATAGAGAAGTGGCAAGAGTTCCCCATACACTAGCTTTTGGAGAGGGCTTGAAATTGTGGAAAATGCCAGCTTAACAATGGGATCTACATAGACTTCCCTAATGTTATAGGTAAAATTAATATTGGTGCTTGATATAAGTGGATGACTTTCACTGGGCACTTTGAATCTTTCTTTGAAGGCAAGGAATGAAGATTTTTTTTTTTTTCATTTTTTGTTTTTTTCCCAGGTACTGGGAATTGAACTCATGACGTCACACTTGCCAGGGAGGCGCTGTGCTGCTGAGCTAAATCCCCAGCTCCTAAGGAATGAAAATTATGCAAGTAAATATAAAGTCAAGTGGCCTAAAAAAATAGGGCTCTGAAGCTTTTACTATTTGGAAATGACTTTTATTCCTATGGAATTTTTTAAAATAAATGTTCAAAATACTTCATTGAGAATATGAAATTTGCAAAATTGCAAAAAAAATTTGGAAATGTCCGTTGTGTGATGGTGTGTGTGCGTGCGCGTGTATGTGTATGTGTGTGTGTGTGTGTTTCTAGCTACCTTGTTAGATTTATTATCAACTGTGTGTACTACAAATGTATCCACTCCTGGATAGCGATTTATTGTTGCCAAGTGTTTTGAAATAAAATAAATTCTCTAATAAAAATGTTCCAGATTTTGATTTCTATTGTATTCTCAGTATTTTTCCTTTGGGAAAAAAAGGGATAATCACCAAATGGTCAGCCAAAGTAAGTATTAACATGCCAAAATACATAATTAAACTTCTTAATGTTTGATGTTAAAATGGAATCAATAACTTCATTTTAATGACATGTGTTAATAGAGGTATATATGTGTATAAACGTATCCTACATACAGACACACAGGTTGAGCATTCCTGGTCCAAAAATCTGCAACTTCCAAATGCTCCAAAGTCCAAAACTTTTTGAATCCTGATATGATGCCACAAGTGGAAAATTACATACTTTATGTTTTATGACAAGTTATAGTCAAAATTCAGGTATACTTAAAATATTGTATAAAGTCAGTCTTCAGGCTACATGTGTAAGGTATATGTGAAACATGAATTTTGTATTTAAACATGTCCCATCATTTAATACATATTCAAATTTTCAAAACCTATAATATTCTGAATTTCAAAATCTGTTCCCAAGCATTTTGGAGAACAGTTATCCAAACTGTATATGTGCATCTTATAGGCCAGATTTCTTTCACTATACTCCAGTAGCTTTAGAAGTGAAACTGAACAAAATGTTTTTAGTACTTTGGTCTTAAAAAATAATCTAGAACCAGTTCATCAAAGAGTAAAGCAATAGTAAGTTTTAAAACTGGCTGGGGACCAACTGGGTGATTCTGATCATAAGTACTTTCTCTTGTTTTATATTTGGTTTATCCACATTTTTCTCTACTATAACTTTCTCTGAGAGGATGAAGAACATGCTATTCCTGTAGGGCATTTTGTGGCAATCTTAAACTTTCTATGGAAGTAAATTTCTAATTTTCTGTACTTCAAAAAAAGTTACAGACATACCATTAACCTGATTTGGCAATTTATTTAAAATAAGTAATATGTAGATGTGATCATAAGTGGAATATCATTCTCTGTTAATTCTGGAGAAATTGTATTTTTTTTAATTTCAAAGAGTAAAAGAAAGATAATAATAGGGGGGCTTACCAAATTACAGACAAAGTGGTAGGAAATTATTAATGTAAATTGTATTTTTTAATGTAAAAGAAAACAAGTGTCTCACTTTTTTTTTTCCGGTACCAGGAATGGAACTCACGACCTTGCACTTGCCAGGCAGGCACTGTGCCGCTGAGCTAAATCCCCAACCCCAAGTTTCTCACTTTAAATGAAACAATATTTGTGACTTTTTGTGATTATGAAATATTCTAATGGGTCAAAGTGAATTTAAAAAATTTTTAAAGGTGGAGGATGGGTTACAACCACAGTTAAACTGTAAACAGTAGTATCAGTTCATGTCCTGACAGACCAACCAGCCCCCTGGTGCACCTTATCCTGTGAGTCCATTAGTTGCGCTATAATATGGGACCAGGGGTCTTTGGCCAGTAGCCTAAGACAGAAAAATAAAACTGAGCTTGTAATACCTTGTGGTCAACAGATTAAAAAAAACACCTTCAGAGACATCTGGGTGATGTCAGGTGATGGCCTATTGCCATAAGTAGAATTCTTACCAACCAGGCAATGATCATCAAGAAACCAGTAGTGGATAGAAGAAACAAGTAGGTTTGTGCAAAATCTTTGGTCCATAGTTACATGTAGTATCAAGAGTGTTGAAGATAGCTGGGTATATTGGTGCACACCTGTAATCCCAGCACTCTAGGAGACTGAGGCAGGAGAATCATAATTTCAACCCTGTCCTGGGTGACTTAAAAAGACCCTTTCTTGAAATTAAAAAAAAAAAAAAACACTATGAAATGGGCTTGGATTTAGCTGAGTGTGAAGGGTTTCTACTAGTCTTCACAAAAGATGTTCTATATTGGTCAGCCCAAATGTCCTGCAGGCTAATGTTAATCAGCATCTAATGTTATAAAAAGTGGTAAAATAGACTTATCTACAGTCTCTGTAGAAAATAAAACCTCTAGACTGATCATCTATAATCTGTGGGTGTCATTACTGAAAGAAGCATCTAAAATTCTATCATAGAGCTCCTCACTAACACTCAGCTTGTGTTGACACTTCATCACCCGCCCCTCATGTGTAGACATATAAAGACACATTTAATAAGTGGGCTGACCTCTGGAAGTATCTGGTCATTCATTATGGAAGAGAGCAGATGAAATATTTAAATATAGAGTCTTCATTTGCTTTTGTTAAAGCTTAGGAAGAAAACAATGAATGTATCCTTTTCTATAGCGTGGTGAAGTAGAAATCCTGACCTAATTGCAGGCATTTTGTTGAATAAAGCTACAGCCATTCTATTCTCTGCCACTAAACTCAGCTACATCATGTGATTTGTCATCAAACTGAAACTTCTGTGAATGTGCTAATAACTTTGCTACATACAACTATACTCACCAGAAGACACCCATTGTACCATAAACTCCAGGAAAAGCTTATGTTGTTCTTCTAACTTCTGTTTGCCATCTTATAAATAAAACAAGCTCTCTGTAATCAATACCTCAGACTTTGGAGATTACTCCTCTGGGGTCCCCTAGCATCAATAAAATTTCCTTTCTTCTCCTGAGCTCCTTGATAGTGTTGACTCAAATTTCCCCGCAGCAATAGGAGTGGATATAGGGAAGACAAAGTATAGATAAATTGTGTAGCCCTTCACAATCAGCTAAGTCTCAGCCCATTTTGTAGGTTTTAAAAAGACAAATCTCAAAAGGGAGAGTTATAGACACCAACTATAGAGCAACAGTAAATATCTAGAATAGAGTTCCTGTTGATATTGATAATTCTTTTTCCAGAATGGTTTTCTCAGTCTCATTGCTTCTAAGTTTTGTTCCCATTCAAGGTTAGAAGATCTCACATCTGTCAGATCAGTGTACTAGAATCTGATTTAAATGTAGAATTTCTTCCTCTGATAGAAAAGAATGTACTATCTGTTGTCTACCAGGACCAAGTTAGACTATAATTGGTACCCTGTTACCCTCTCCTTGGGTGCAACATATGTGAAGATTCCCACAACATCATTCATTTTGTTGGTATCTCTTTCCATCTATATGGCATCCCTTAGTTGGTGTAATTTTACTGGTTAACTTTTTTTTTTTTTTTAAAGGAGAAAAGATTTATTTAGCTCACCGTTTGTAGAGGTTTTAGTCCATAATTGGGTGGCTCCAAGGCAGGGTGGCACCTGGCAGAGAGCAATAGTTCATGGCAGCAGAAGACAGCAAAAGCAATGAGAAAGGGAAAGAGGGAGGGAGGAAGAGGGAGAGAGGGAGGGAGGGAGAGATTGATTGATTGATTTGATCAATTTATTGGTTAACTTTGGGCCACTCCATCCAAATCATTGTAAAGGTAATTTTAATGTGGAGAGTGGCTAAACCTGGATATTGATCACACATGTGGGACAAAGACAAAGGCAGCCCTGAGAACACCAAGAGCTCAAGGCAAGCCAGTAAACAAGCTGTTCCAGCTGTAACAGAAAGTTGCTATGCAGAGGGATTGAAATTGACATCAGCCTCCTGAGAGTATAAATAAAGGAGCTATGGTATTTGAACAGTCCCATCCCTCCCATCCAGAGAGAGAGGGCTTTACCTAACCTCAGCTTTTTGTCTCTTATCATTATTTCTCAATCTTCTCACCATCTCCCCTTCTAGAAACATTGACAGCTGCACAGAACGCAGCATTTTAAAACTTACAGCTAGGGGCTGGGGATTTAGCTCAGCGGCAAAGCGCCTGCCTGGCAAGCGCAAGGTCGTGAGTTCGGTTCCCGGTACCAGAGAAAAACCAAAAAAAAAAAAAAAAAAAACCTTACAGCTAGACACTAGATGTGAGGACGGGCCAAACAAAGCAACCTGTTCTCATAACTAGAGAATAACAAAAAACTAGCTTTGGCATTGCAGTGCCACCTGCAACTTGTAAAATAAGTGTAACTCAGTCAAACAGTGCCTCTTATTATGTTAGCTTGTTTCAAAGATTTATCATCTAGAGATGGACCAGCTCAGTCTAAAATAATGATTGACTCTTCCTGCTCACCTCAGCCCTTGACTTCTCTGCTATATGATAAGTAAGACTCCCCATTAACTTGCTCAGAATAAAACTGCCTGACAACATATGACAAAATGTACATAACCAACTATAGAATATCCTGTTGTCTGCCTTTTGAACTTCCTTTTAATAACCTATATAAGTGACTGTAAAACCCTAAGAGGGGAATGATGATTTGGAACTGAGATTCCCATCAGCCCACTAGCACAATAAAGCTGTATGCCTTCCAAAGTTTCTTGGTGCTGTCTTCCATCTTCTGTTCCCGCTTCTGCAACATCATCATAGCATCAATAAATATACAGTGCTACCTCAGTGCTGATGGTTAATTGGTTCCAGAAAGTGTGATGAATGCCATAAATGGTGAGCATCAAACACATTGTTTTGGTTTGAAAGGATAGTGAGTTGTGAGGCAATCAGCAATGGCGAGTTCTAGCTTGTGTTTTGAAAACCAAACAAACAAGGATTACTAGGACTCATTGTTTTGTCAAAAAGGAGTGAATACTACATCTGATGAATATCAAAGTAATCAAGTATTAAATCATTACTATACTTGACGCTGTAGTTTGGACAGAGCGTGTCTCCTAAAGCCTGTGTGTTGAAGGCTTCATTCCAAGAACAGTTGGGCGCAGACTAATGGATGGAAATTATGTCCGTGAGAGTGTTCCCCTGGAAAGAGATATTGCAACTCTGGCTCTCGCCTCTCTCTTTACTTCCTGGCTGTCCTGAGATGATCAGTCCTCCTCTGCCATGGATTCCCACCATGATGTGCCAGTACAGGCCTGCAGCAATGGGTCTAAGTGACCAGGGACTGAAATCGCTGAAACTGTGAGTTGCAATAAACCTTTATACCTTGTAAGCTTGTTCCAGCTATTTTGTCACAGTAATGCAAAGCTGAGTAACTGTCTTAGCCACTTTCTCATCGCTGAGACACAATACATTGTGACGACGATTTAAAGGAGGAGAGGTTT